TCTCTCCCCATTCATTTCTGCTGCTGTTTCCCCCATTATCTAGCACGTAGAAAACATGCATTGTTGCATTCTAAGGGAAGCCTTTCCAGGGAGGTTAGTCGCGGCTTTGCTCTCTCTCAAGCCCTGAAGAGGAAGAGAGGGTATTTTAAACTCACCCGATTCAAACAATGCCTGGTACAGGCAGACTCGGGAACAACGGCAACAAATGTGGGGTTACAGAGTGGCTTTCCGGAAAGCTGAAAGCTGAGAACCGCATCTCAGCATGCTGAATAGACCAGGGCCTGGGAAACAGAAATGCTCCAAGCGAAAATAGCCAAAGGCTGAGAGATCCGAAGCGCGCACTTTCACACTTTGCATGTCAGGGGGGGTAGTTTGCCCTGGAGAACATTCCTGTACATTCGTTTCCACGTGAGGAATCCCAGGCACACCGATCCTGCACTTCCTCCTGGGGCAAAAATCCCACGGAAATCAAGGGTCAATTGCAATCAATGGGAGTTTTGGCTGAGTGAGGCATAATGGTGGGGACTCTTATACACTGTTTTCAGGTGTACGCTCCTACTCTCCATTCTCCCTCTCCTTGACTGATTTCATTTTGAGAATACTTCTCTCGGGTAAATAGTGTTTGTGTCTCTCTGCTTGTGTGCATAACCAACGAACTCCATTTCTCTTCTCTTAATATGCCCTACCCTCTGGTATTCCATAACATTGTCACTAGTGGGAGAAGTGTAAAGCTTATCATACCAGGGAATCTTTCCTGCAGCAGAGAAAAACATAAAAGGGCTCGTCCTCTCTATCAAAAAAGACGTGGGGAAATATTCAATCCTAAAATGGAAAATGTATTTAGTCCGGCTTGTTTGCCTCCAAGTGATTCAGCAAACTCTGAAAAATCGTTGCATTTAAAACACATCCCATTCTTACTGCAAGCTATGATTCTCAGCGGAGTCCATAACAACCAGGTACACTGCCTTTAAAAGTTAGATGCCTAAAGTGCAGCTGTTATTGTTTTAACAGCAAAGTTGGCCTTTAAGTTTTGTAGCGTGTTTCCTTTTCTAGTCTTTAGACACAGGCTGGTCCGAAGAGAGCACTGATTACTTTATAAACGTACAGTCCCTAGCAGAAAAGCAGTGCGATGATTAATCTGTTACAAAGATTTCCAAGGTCCCAAATCATTTAAGAAGGACACAGGGCAGATGAAATCTCTTGGCATTAAGCACTTCTGAGGAAGATGGCTATAAAAAGCGTCTTGTCTGTGACATGTGCGTTTGCAAAACGAAAAACTCATCCAAATAAACATTGGGAGTGCAGGCCTAGTGCCAAGGGTCCAAAGAAGCCAAGAGGTCTGGGGGGCTCAGAACAAAGAAAGGGCAGCAGAGTCTAGGGTAGGTACTAAATCCTTCCCAACCCCCCCCCCACACACACACACACTCACACACACACTGCTACCACCACTACCACCATTCCCAGCCTTTCCTACTCCTCCCTCTACCCCTTGCTCATCACTGCGCTTTGAAGGGGCTTGTATCGTCTCGTCTTTTTCTTTAGATGTTACAGAGTCTGTGAGCTGATCGTTTTGGTTGATCAGCAATTTCAACTAGCGCAAAATGCAGGCATGCCCCTCCTGCTGCAATGTATCTGTGCATCTCAGCCTGGCGAGACTGTAGATCTCGATGAATTCAGACACCTCGAAACCTGACAGTGGAGGGACAATCCTCCAGGGCTTAAGGAAACGTACTTTTACAATACTGAAGGAGTTTGTTTAAATTTCAGGATCGGATTTAATTGAAAAAATGCTTCTCATATGCCGGACCTCCGACCAGGGGGAGAGGGAGGGAAGTGAGACTGAAGCCTGTAGTTAAGAAGGAAGGTTTCTGAGAGAGCAATAAACATTTATCTTTCATATTTGTCTCCCACTTTCTTAGCTGGTTTAGTCTAAACTATTTCATTTACCCCGAGAAGCAGGGGGACGCGGACGTGAAACTGAAACCGCAATAATGAAGAGATTTCCTAGAATAAAAACGATGATTACAGAACACCATCTGACCAACCCCATCTGCCAAAAGTTTCACATCCGTACACTACGGCACAGCAGCCCATTTCTGCTCCAAAGCTGGGTTAAGCACAGAAATCGATACACCAACCAAAATAAACATCTTCCCCAAACAGCAAATGCACTTTTGTTTAATCATGGGAACCTCCGGCCGATCTAGCAAAAAGGCTTGGAAACATTTAGTACCTTGTCTCGGGCGCAGGATTTGTGCGGCTAAAAATAAAGAAGACAGTAAAACGCAGAAGCAGAGACCACCACTGGTGCTAAGAGGGCTGGGCGATCATTTGAATTCATTGTAAATAGCACGCTTGGTTCTTAATGATTTGTTTAAAGTAATCGTCTGCTAGGCACGGTAAATCCCTGGCAGGTATAAGGAATCGGAGGCAATTTGTTACCCCGTTTCTCCCTCCAACTACAGAATACTGATGGGAAATGGGGGGTGCTTCTGTAGCGGGGGGAGGGCTATTTTGGTTTACTTGTGAAAGTTCTTTCTAATTTGCTTTGTCCGAGTTGTTTCACATCCAGTTACCCCCCTTACATTGAATAACTCTAGGAGTGTCCTAAAACGGACTTGAAGTTTTTACACAATTCTCAGAGAGTGGAATGCTCTGGCCATTTAAACAAATGTCACAGAGATCGGGGGGGGGGGAAGAAGTGCTCTCACTGATCAGGCTCAGGGCAGGATTTTAAATGCAAAAAAAGAGAGAGAGCGAGAGAAAGAGAGAGAGAGATTGTTTTTATTCGCCGAGGAGGTACTTTCAACCGGTTCAGAAATCGTGCCTCCGAATACAGAATGGGAACAACTTCTATAAATGTCTTATGAAAGGTAAACAAACGGGGGGGGGGGGAGTCTTGTTAAAATGTGGGGTAAATAGTGGTGAGCTTGGTAGTGTTTTCGTAGCTGAGTCTCAGGTACAATCAAGCCATTTTCGGACACATGCCCATGTATGTAGCAGTGGTGAGCTGGAGGAAGCTGTCGACGCCTGTTCAGTTAATTTAGGTTTTCTTTGTCTAATTACTGTGGAGCTTAGGGAAAAGGAGCCGGGCTCAGGGCAGTAAACTGACACTTGGGCTCTGTGTGTGGTATCCAGGCCGAGTTTGATGGAAAAAGCCTGCTTCCACTCAACTGCAGGTCACTGTCTGAGACCAGCCCCCACCCCCCTCTCTGCATACACCCACCAGCCAGCTCAGCGCGGAGCAGCACTGGGAAGACAGGCAGACCCACAGCGCTTCAGGGACATTGATGTGGCGTCCTGCTCGGCCCCAAACCTTTCCTTTCTCTTTGCTCCAACCTCCCTTTCTCCCCCATTTTCCGTGCTGCTTCCACCCAGCCTGCACTCGCCCCACAGATGTAGAGATCTTCCACCACCCCCGCCAGACATAGTCTCTCCCCCTGCCCGCTTGAGTCCTGGCCCAGGCCCTGTTTCCAAGCGCGTGTAAACTCCCGAACGGAACCGGGCTTTCCCTGGGCATGATTTCGCCAGGGGTCCCACTTTTTTGGCAACGTCTAGTGAGCTGGGGCTCGGTCTAACCCCCCTGGCAGACTGTTAACAGCAATCGTGCTGCCTCGGGATCCCTGCAGACCCCCACAGGCCCCGCTTGCCCGTGTGCCCAGGGGCGACCCGGACTCCCAGCCGGAATGATTGTGCTCCGTGCTCCACGCTAGCGTGGCGCGGGGAATGAAGCTGGGGCAAGCCGGCGCACAGGTAGGTCGAGAGGCTCTCCCGCCATCCCCCTGCGGGCTCCACGATCTTCCCTGAGCCGAGGCTCTCGGACACTCCCTCCATCCCCCGGGCCGGGCCGGGGAGCGCTCGGCACGCTGTTACCTTTGGAGCGCGGCGCACTGGCCGGCGTGTGGCTGGGGACTGCGTGGTGTCATTGCGCGTTAGGGAGGGCAGCTAGAGCGCGCCGGTGCAGCAGCGCCGCCTGCCCAGCTGAGGAGTGGACAGAGGCCAGCTGGAAAGGGGGTGGGCCCGGGTTCGTGGAGCCACTCAGGGGGGTCGGAAGAAAACGAGCGAGATTTAAGACACTGATAGGTGGCCGGGCTTTGTTCGGCTGCTCACTCTCGACGCCAGACGCGCGGGGCTCCGGCAGAGCGGCATGGCCGGCGGGCGGGGGGCCCGGCTGGAATGCCAGCAGCCCTGAGCGGACCCCTCCCGCGGCAGAGCAGCGAGGGGGCAGGGGGCGAGCGCCGGAGAGCAGCCTGCTCCGTCCTGCCGCGGCGGAAAGGAGGGAGCCATTGCGCAAGGGGCCTGGCTGGAGCCGCTGGGGCAGTGATGCGCAGGGCGCAGCCGGCAGTCCGCAGCCGCCGCCTCCCGCAGCAGCACTAGGAGGTGCCCCGGGACTAGCAGTTCTCCCCCTCCCCCCACAAACCCATCAGGGCACCCCCCCCTCCCCCAAGCCGCTCCGGTCTCACCCCACCCCTCCATTCCCTCCTTCCCGCCGCCAGATGACCACCGAGAGCGGCCAGCAGCAGCGGGAGCCGCCGGCCCCTCTCCGCTCCTGCAGCCCGGCTCCCGGCGCGCTCCAGGCCGCCTTGATGAGCCAGCCGCCCCCCTCCGCCCTGGAGACCTCCACCGGCAAGAGCAAGAAGGCCAGCTCGGGGCTGCGGCGGCCCGAGAAGCCCCCCTACTCCTACATCGCCCTCATCGTCATGGCCATCCAGAGCTCGCCCAGCAAGCGGCTGACGCTGAGCGAGATCTACCAGTTCCTGCAAGCCCGCTTCCCCTTCTTCCGCGGCGCCTACCAGGGCTGGAAGAACTCGGTGCGCCACAACCTCTCGCTCAACGAGTGCTTCATCAAGCTGCCCAAGGGGCTGGGCCGCCCGGGCAAGGGCCACTACTGGACCATCGACCCGGCCAGCGAGTTCATGTTCGAGGAGGGCTCCTTCCGACGCCGGCCCCGCGGCTTCCGCCGAAAGTGCCAGGCGCTCAAGCCCATGTACCGCATGATGAACGGCCTCGGCTTCAGCGCCTCCATCCTGCCCCAGGGCTTCGACTTCCAGGCGCCCTCGGCCTCCCTGGCGTGCCACGCCAACGGCTACAACCTCGACATGATGGCGAACCCCATGGCCGGGGGCTACGAGGGGCACCACGTCCCTCACATGTCCCCCAACCCGGGCTCGACCTACATGGCCAGCTGCCCGGTGACTTCCAACGGGGACTACGGCCCCGACAGCAGCAGCAGCCCCGTGCCCTCCTCCCCCGCCCTGGCTAGTGCAATCGAGGGCCATTCCCCCTACCCGCGCCCCCCCCGGGGGCCCCTTCGTATATAAAGCAGCAGGCCCTTCCACCCGGCAACCCAGCCTCAGCGGGCCTCCACTCCAGCATGTCCTCCTACTCTTTGGAGCAAAGCTACCTGCACCAAAACGCCAGGGAAGACCTGCCAGGTAATACCCCCTTCGCTTTCCTTCCTTCCAGGCTTTCTCGCGGCTAGGATCAGAGGAGGCTGTCGCGGAAGGTACACACGCCGCCCAGCAGCAGGCCCTTCCACCCGGCAACCCAGCCTCAGCGGGCCTCCACTCCAGCATGTCCTCCTACTCTTTGGAGCAAAGCTACCTGCACCAAAACGCCAGGGAAGACCTGCCAGGTAATACCCCCTTCGCTTTCCTTCCTTCCAGGCTTTCTCGCGGCTAGGATCAGAGGAGGCTGTCGCGGAAGGTACACACGCCGCCCTCGTTGTGCCAAGCTGGCGTTTGCCTCTGGTTTACTGAAGCTGTCAGATAAGAGCCCTGTGACAAGGGCGAGGCTGGGGCTGCTTTGTGTTTTCTCTGAAAACAGGGCTTGACAAGAGAAAACAAAACCTGGCCCGAGAAGGAAAAATAGAGCTATTGTTCGGGAACATATTTTGCTCTGTTTTGGGGCACAGTGGGGGAGGGGGAGAACCAAAAATTGCCAGCCACTGCTGCTCTGGGGGTTTGGTTTTTAATATGAACATGCCCGTTACGGTTGTTATTGCTAGTGGAGAGGTTAAAACCCAGATCCTTATCTTTATGGTGTTTGCTACGTTTTTGGTCAGTTTCAACCGGTCTTGTAGGTTGGTTTGAGTGATTGATTTCTTGGCCAGAAATACTAGGACAAGAATTACAAATGCGTCATTCAATACAAAAACGTGAGGAGATTTCTAGTAGGGATTGACTGAAAAGGGTGTTTAATATTACCTCCAAAATCTTGCAGATTGCGGCGGGAAGAAAACACCCTCTAATCTTTAAAAATGCACAAGAGATTAAAGCAGATCCAAAATATAAAGCAGAAAATGTATCTGGACTCCCCCCACCCCCTTACTCTAGTGATTATAGACAATGTATTCTTAGAAAAAAAATATTGCGAAGGAGATATTTGTGGAGAAAACAAAGTACAAAAATGGGTAAAAGATGTTAAGTTCTTAGAAGGAAATTTTCCAAATAGCCCTTCTAAACGTGGGTCTTGGAGGTTAACCAAACAAAGACAGTCTGGGCTGGACCACACCGAAGAGGATTTTAGCCTGACTTAACCCATATGAGAACAGGGTCTTGTTCAATTTTATGGGAATTTCAACAAGTAACAAATACAGACGACCCTCTTCATTAGGGTTCCCCCCCCCCCACTGCTTCTTGAAGGGCTGTCAATCATTCCTCTGTTCATCGTAGAGAAATGCAGTGTACCTTTCGATCTAAAAAACCAAGGCTTCGCTTTGGAAAGCTATTTAACCTTTGGTGGTTGCTTCGCTTGCAGCAGAGAAGCACTGTCTTAACGCAAAAGGTTCTCTTTTAGAGAAAGGAAGGCTTAAAGTTTGCATTTGGCTAAATTTATCTCAGGGAAGCTGACCAAACAAGAAACCCAGGTGTTAAAACTTAATAAATTCGGAGACTGATTTGTAAAGCAGCAGCTGTTCCAGGAATTCGGTCCTTAACTCCAGCTCCTGGGAAATGGACCTTGGTCCAGGAAACGAACCCTACTTCCACAAAGAACGTCTTTCTGCCACTGTGGAATCTGCATTTTAGAAATTCCAGATTATAGCCTCGTTTAACTGCAAATCCCGTTCTACAGATTTAGATTAATTCTACAATTTGATTTTAATCTTCAAAACAATAATCTCCCTTACCCGTTTTCTGAACAGATATGCATGTTCGCAATTGCATAGCCTCTCCCACCCCTCGAGAAACACTTTCATAACTTTTGGGCAACTTGTAGAAATACGTTGACGTTCAACTTCAGTGGGAATGGAACCAGCATGACCTTAAAAGTGACGTTTGTTGTCAGAGTGCAACCTTTTAATTTTGAAAGGGAAGTAGAAGCAATCCAAGAACAGGATTTGTTTTGGTTTTTTTCCCCAAACAAAGTGTAATTCTTTTGGTTTTGTGTAATTTTCCCCCTAGTTTTCCTTTTCCGTGAAAACTCAAATATTTCCAAGAATGTGACTATATAAATCCAGTTTCATTCTCTTAAAATGTAATAAAGTACTAGTGCAAATCCCATGCTAGCTAGCTAGCTAATACAAATATACATCTAGCTAAGACCAGATGTGCCAAAGGGACAAATTAATATTCATTTCCGATGTGTTAGATCAGAGAGCAAATCGAGCAATCAGTTTTTAAATAGAAATTCCCATTTATTTCAATAATGTGTTCTGTTTAAATACTACTGCCATGCTTTGGGCCCAGGACATTAATGAAAGCATCTCAGATCATCATACCCTAGGTAACTAAACAATCTTGTATGTGAATACATCCACGTATGCATATACTCGGTTATATGGTAAAAAGTACTTCCTTGGGTTCTAAGAATTCTTAACAGTAAAGGTGTAAGAGCAATTAGTTCTCATTATCTACAGCGCACAAGTAATAACAAGTGCACGCAGTGTTACCATAGCTGCCTTTTTATTAGTTTAATGTGACGCAGATTTGGTTAGAAAATATCAATAAACCTATATCAAATCACTAGCCATTTAAGTTAGTGAAGCTGTAGGTTTTAAGCCTTGGACTTGTATCCGACCCAAGAATAAGAAAAGAAAAGATTGGAAACAGAGGCTTGTTCTCCTGGAGGCTTGAGGGAGACATTTTTTCGCACACTGTTAAACCATGCTCACTGATTGAATCAGGGTTGTAATAAAGTGCAATGGTTTATTGTGAGCATACCAGCAGAGTTATTAGAAAGACCAAGGAAATCCAGCGAAATAATCACCTATACAGCGTGAGCACTGTGGGGTGAGGGAAGGGACAATGAAACAGCCCAGAAAGAGATAGGCATGCTGCAATGAATACTGTGCATCACTTTGCAAGAGAGCTGCCTAGCCTGCGGCACAGAAGCTGCAGACGTATTTTCCTTGGAATCTGTGAAGTTTTATCCACGTTACAAATTTAGACGCTGAAGTTCTGTGCTGATGGGGATTTTCTCCCAGTCTCTTCTGGACTCGGAGATAAGCTACTGAAAAACCTCGAATCAGGTTTTTTTTTCCCCCAGTAAGATTTGAAAAAAGTTTCAATAATCCAAGAGGTAAAATCTGAACCCATTCCAGATCTGAACAGATTGCTTTGGGGAGGGGCAAAAACTCTCCTGGATTAAATCATGTAGGCCTTTCTCAAGCAAAGCTCCCACTGGGAGAATAAAGTCTGAAGAAGGACCTCAGGATCAGTCCCCCGATTGTATAGAAAATCGCTTCCAGCTCGTCAGGAACCTGGCACAGTGGCCTGTGGCTATGGGGTGTGAGATGTCTGAGTGAGGCTGTTACCTAATTTACATACTGCTGCTATGGTATTGGGGATATTGTTCTTTTTGTTTAAGTGTAAGGTATCATTCCTCTGTACTTTTAAGAATATGAGCAGACACATCCAAATATAGCGAGTTACAGCACACACACAAACACACACTACAACAAAATTAATTCTCATTGATCCTATACGCACTGAAATAAATAACAAACCTCACATTGATTTTAATAGGATAGGATCAGGATCATTATGTACACTGCATACAGAAATCAAATGCAGGTGTGTCCTAGAGTTGCGCGCACACATACACAGAGTATATCGCTACACACACAAGGGGATACAGAGGCGTGTATGCAGTGAACACACCTGAACATACATACATACATTACATAATCACATAGCATATGTAAGAGGGGTGTATTTGTGTATAGTATGAGCCTACAGCTTGTAAACACTATATCGCTATACCGGCACTGACAAACATATACACACAAACTATAGGAATATGTATGTGGGCACAATAATTTCAACTTTTTATGAAGTTTCAGAGGGGTAGCCGAGTTAGTCTTTCAAGTGCTACCAGACTATTAGTTTTTTAAGTTTATCCTGTACAGACTAACAAAACATGTAGATGGTATCTCAAGTTTTCGTGGGAGACATAAGACAAGGTTACTGCATCTCGTAAATTTCAATTGCCTTTTGACTCCTTTTAAAACTGTCTTCAAGTAAGGTAATGTTTTGTAGGGGCCTTCTTAACTGCTCTAGAAGGCTACGTCTCAAATGTTTCGTGGAATTTCCTCACAGAACAGAATTTATACTCGCCCTAAGTACAATGTATATCAGGCAGAGAAACTTCTCCTCCCCCCCCCCCCCGAAGCTCTTGTTGTTTTCTTCTCTTACAGTGGGATTGCCTCGCTACCAGCATCATTCTACCCCAGTGTGTGACAGGAAAGATTTTGTTCTCAATTTTAATGGCATTTCTTCTTTTCACCCTTCTGCTAGTGGATCTTATTATCACCACCATCACCATCAAAGCGTCTGTCAAGATATCAAACCCTGTGTGATGTGAACTTAACACTGTCAAATAAAGACAATCAGGTGGCTGTTTAACAAACGTGAGGTATAGACAGACTCACGCAAATAAAATGTAATGTGCACTCCTGATAGCATTGAATTAGTACACAAGTCACTTAGCAAAATTACATAAGGCAGCACTGTGTTTACCATTTTGTCCCCTGCCACACAGAAGGACAGAAAAAGATGATGGAATGTTCCAAAGCTTTTTTGAAAGGTTTTCTTTTGTGTGCATGTGTGTGTGTGCGTGTGTGTGTGCGTGCATGGGAGGGCGGGGAAGGGTATCTTTTATAGGAAGTCTATTCAAGTAAATAATAAAATGCATTTCTGTAATCTTCGTTGTCCTAAAAATTAGAGTATGCAAAAAAGGTCAGTTCAGGGTTGTTGTTTTTTAATTAATAGAAACAAGTTTCGTTTGACTGGGGAAAATCTGCCTCAAACCAACAACAGCGAGAAACTGCATTTTTTAGTTGTTCCAGAGTTAATTAAAATGAACCTTTTTTTCAAAACACTTTTTATGGACGCCAGCACCAATCAATATTACTAAAAATATATTGTTTAGACGTTTCGTGTATAGCGTTTAAGAAAGTTCGTTTTTTCCAGTATTGCAACAATACATTGTTTTTGTTTTTATTTTTGCAAAGTTCTTTTCTACCACAGTATTTTTAAAAGAAATATTTTAAATACATCTTGTGTATACTCGCACACTTAACGGCTTTAAAAGGAGAATATATTTGCACTTATGTATACTTTTTACAGTTTGCCAAAAATATTTTGATGTACAAATTCTTTTTCAATAAAATGTGTATAAACGACAATGCACTGAATAGGCATTTAGTTTCACTCTGACGCTTCTTGTAATTGTCCCTGTAAGGCACCCTAGACCCCGCAGGTACTATTGAAGTGGAGGAAGAGGAAAGTAATTGACCTGCAGAGGCATCTGTGTCCTGAGATCATCTTAGGTTTGGACACTTTTTCCTCTCTCCCCCACGCCCGCTTGAGTTTTCTATTCTTTATCTCCTTCCGGCTACTTGTGCAGAATTTTAAAAACACAATTTTAAAAATCTAAAACTTGCGATTGTAACTGACGCTTCAGCTGCATTTAAACAATGTTTAGATCGGCCAATTGACCGCGCTTGTGATTTCTTTCTTACTTCCCTCTCCGCCCCCCTTTTTTCCCCTTGTATTAATGCTTTAGGTAGGAGTTGACCCAAATTCTGCTGATCTTCTCTTGGCAAACAAAATGAACTCCATAGGAGTTCGGGGGTTGCTAGGAATGTAGGATAAAACTACATATAATGGTTTGCCACCTCTCATTGTGGGGCAGCCTTTTTGCAACGTAGAAAAGCATCCAGTTCGTTAAGTAAAATCAGGCTTCGTAATTACTCGTCCAGGTAGGCACGTAGTTTTGATGTCAAGATACAAAACACATGTCTGCCGTCAGTGGGAGAGCGGCGAGGAACCCCAGGGAGAGATCTAAGATTACATGGAGCTGAACATTTACTCAAGCTCAGCTCATAAAGTTAATTCATCCCTTAAACCCATTGGAGTTCACGATCTATACACCTTTCTGCTTACTCAAGGCAGGGAAGTCACGTTTATAGGCTGCAATCCTTTGATCACATAGTAGGATCCCAGTATGGAGCCTTAAAAAAAAGACTTCCACACAGGGCGATCAGACACATTAATGCCCCCGAAGTCTCTTCTCCTCGCTGTATATTGTCTGGATATTTTAAGGGACCATCTCAAGCTTTTAAAGTCGTCATGTGCATCCCTTAATGAAACCGAAACGAAACTTCGCGTGCAATGATTGTTGCCTCAAAAAAAATCACTCCCACTCCCCCCAGGCTGCTATCCCATCCCATAAGCCATGTGGAGCACTGACTATGAAAAACGGTGCTACTTCCTCGGTAGAGTAGAGACTCGAGCTGATGCAGACCATTCCTCACATCACGCTTTCCTACGTGGAAGAAACGGATCAGCTCGGTGCTAAAAGATCTGTTCTCCCTTGAGGACAGCAAATTTGCCCCGCATGCAATCATATCCTCAGACATAATGCAACCCAGTGCAGTTCCAGCCCTATTTGAAATGGGAGATTTTCTTCCGTTTAATGTGCAGCATCCATGTCACACTGGCGCTTTTAAACACTAAGTAGAGAGTGAATTTGATCAGAACGATTTTTTTTAAATCTCCATTTTTATATTTATACTCAACCATGCCCCCTTTTCCCCCGAGCTTCTCAGGGGCCTGCAATAAATTATGAAGTCAGTTTCAGAGTTTGCTCCGACCACAGTGCTGTGTTTACATTCTTTCCAAGGCAAGCCTGCATGGTCGTAATTTATATCCTAAACACTTGAACGTAACTTGTTTATACAGAAAATGACAGGACCTCAAAGACAAAAAAACTGAACTTGCCTAACAGATTGAAATAGAATGAATAGTCCATGGTTTTAGTGCCCTCTCATGGAGCCATCATGCCATTGAACCGAAATACCAAAAACATTTGTAGCACTTCTAATTTTTGTATTAGATATATTTTTGTTCTATTTCTGGAAGTGATCCCATACCAGGCAAAATAATCTCTCTCTCTCGCACACACGTACACAAATATCTTGCCAAGACGTCAGTTCTAGGAAATATTGCAGTTTTGAGCTTGCTTTGCTTCTGTCTGGTAAATGGATGCTTTCTTTCCCTCGTTTTCAGACTGTCAAACTGAGAACGCTTCAGACACAGGCCTATTTAACTACCAACACGAGCAGGGGAATGCCAGTGAAATGGATCCTCAAACTTCACCCTAGGGCTCTTTTAAACGTTATAGCGACTTGCAAAGGGGAACAAATCATGTAAAAACCAAATGAGCCCTATTTTAATATCAGTGTTTGCTACTGCAAGGCATTCCGTGGTTGTCTAGCCTGCAAAACTCTAGTAGCCTTCGGGGCTAGTGGAAACACGACAAGGGGCAGGGTTAAACGCCAGAAACTGCATAGCTGCAGAAGAGAATTTTAAATGGACAATTGAAAACGCCTGAGGATTTTGTTTGCTGTATGTATCGCAAATAGCTACCTTACATTCTGGAGAAAGGAAGCCTTCGTTAAAGATCCAACTCCTCTCGCGAGTTAATCGACAGGTTGACTTTCACTGCCCTAGAGGGGTAGCCATGTTAAAGTCTGGATCCGCAGAAACAAGGAGTCCTGTGGCACCTTTTGACTAACAGATTAATGAATCCATGTCCAAATTAATCGGGTGTCTTTAAGGCACCTCAGGACTCTTTGTTATATATATATATTTTTAATGTATCTATCGCAAGCAGCCAGGAGGCTCCAACCAACCCAGGGCAGACTATCGCTTGACATCTTGACATTTAAACAGAATTGTATTTATTTATTCCGAAAAAAAATATTTCTGCGCTTCTTCGTGCATCCTCACCAAGCTGGAAAGGGCACCGTCCTAGTTAGGGGGGAGGGAGATCTTTGCAGGCCAACTCTTTAGGGAAGCCTACAGTGGATTCACTGAAACGTAATAGAACACCAGCTCCTAGAAGATGCTGCTGGTGATAGAGCTCAGACAGCCCCGGGCTCCATTAGCCCGGTGATCAGTGGCCATGCTCTATTGCCTAGCTCGCCTTTTCCCGTCCCCTCTGCGCCCCGCGCCCTTTGGCAAAGCTTCTTGCTGAGGGACCTCACCACCAGAGGAGCGGCGCTAGCTTCTTCCTGTGGTTTAATCCGCGTCACAGCTCTACCGGGTGGGAGTGCAAAGGTGATCTCCATCCTGGGCTCTTGCACAGTGGCTCACAGCCAGACTGCAGGGGTGTGTGGGTGGCCTCTCTCCACAATAGACTGTCTCCAAATCCCCTTCTTCTGCAATAGGAGGGTCAGAGAGGCGAGACCCAGCGCTCGACGCAACTTCCAGAGCGCTAGAGTTCGCACTTGCCGGGGGCGATCGGATCAAACGAGGACTAGACTCGAATCTGTCCATAACCCCATCACATTACAGCGTGGTTGGGTAGCCCAGGGATGGAACCTTGACCACCGACACCGGAGCCGACCGTGTGTTGGACCGTATGGAATCTAATCCTCTCTCCGCCTTCTCTTCATCGGCTCCCTTCCCGCAGCCTTGACCACAACGTGGGGATTTTCCTGGGGAGTGTTTACGTTATCCCAGAAAAACCTCAGCCTGTTCGAAAGACAGGCGAGTTCTGGCCAAGCAGTTTCACATTTACACGAGCCGAGCGCGGATCTGTTGAAGCCGGAGCAGCTACTTGATGAACATGTTCCCGAAAATATCCAGGGTATTTAACAACATTCACCCACCCATTATTCTATTAAAACTGTCAGAAGATTAAAAGACAGCTCGAAATCAATCCCGATTGATACTCGAAGCACTTCGGTTTCTTGTTCATGGTCTGCGCGGAACCCAAGACATGTTAGTGAACTTGGATGGTGAAGGAAAAAGTTACAAATTTTTGTTCAGGAGCAGTAAATCTGACTGTATTGAAGGCTAAAATACATGGCCCTGGCACATGAGCGGAGATTTAAATAATTGTGCTCAATGAAGGCAGGCCCTGACATCTTTTCATTCCAATTTTAAACGTGTAAACGATCTCATTACAATTGATGTGCTTTACTGAATCGGGATCTTAACGCACCCTAGACAACTCTCAGCTAAGCTGCTGGTGGTGAGCACTGTGAAGGAGCAGGCATATAATACAGGATACCTGATACACTCACTTTAAGGAGAAATACATTTTAGTAAAGCTGCAATATTAATCTGCATGAAATACTGCCTTAGTTAGTAAGAACACCCGGACTTTATTTATACATTTAGCCATTTGATAGATACAAATGAGGAAAGAGGTAAATAGAAGTCATCGTATTTTTGAATACGAGCCCAGAGGTTATTTTAGAGCCAGTGATCTTTGTGTCTAGATTATAAAGAATTCAGAGCAGCCTTGTGTGATTTGCCAACTACTGAATAGAGCTCCAAAACATCTGTAATATTAACAACGTCAAGAGACCTTTTTATGCTTGTTTTTCATCTAACAATGATTTATGAACATATTTATTTCTCCATTGGTCATTTATAAAAGAAATATGCTGAGGGGAACAGGTCCTGAAGTGCAGAGAGACTTTGCACCATCTAACTACATTTGGAATTAGAGGCATTTGAATGTTAGATTGAGATTTTAATTGGAATTGCATTGCTATTCTTTTAAATATATCAGACTATAACATGCATCAAAGTTAGTGAACATTTACAAAATGTGTTTATAATACTGTACTGAACACAGGTGGATGTACTCATCTCTGAATGTTCCAACAATTGCAAAAAGTTAAAAATCAGGTAGAAATTTCTAGTCCAAGCCAGTTTTTGAATCATTAGAAAGCATAGTTTCTAGGACCAGCTCCTAGGCATAGTTAGGTGTTGCTTCACTGAGCTCAAATACCTAAATATGAATACCAAAATCAATATAGAACAGTAAGGACAACTTTTTGAAATTAAGAAGTCAAGGCATTTTCAGTCTCTAAGCTTCAAAGGAGTTGATCCGATTAACCTAAATGTTTCCAATAAATGTTAACTTTAATCCAGTGGATACACTGGATCTATTTTATGCAGAAAGCTGCTTTTCAGAAAGGATTGATATATGCAAGCAGCACCAGTTTAACATAATACAGATTTTAAGCTGATTTAGCTAAAATGGTGAAAACCCTTTTGTGGATACTCTTATCTCACTTTAAAGTGGCTTGTTTTGGTTTGGAGTAAACCTATTCCTGATCAATGTAAACTAAATCTAAATAAGCTTAAAGTGAAGTCATGGTGTCCACACTGCCTTTTGC